GGTCTCCAGATGGTGGGAGCAGCAGCCACACTCTTCTGGGCAGGCTGTTTTCTGGTGAACACACAGGGAGACAGAGGTGAGCTGCGCAGGGCTGGAGAGCAGGAGGTGTCTGAGCCCAGCTGAGCTTTGCAGAAGTGCTTGATGAGCTGAACCTGAGTTTCCTTCTTGGGCTCATAGTAGGACAGAAAGTGCATCGCTTCCTTGAGGCACCGCAGGTATCCACTGTTAAAGTCCTGCTCTGGGCTCTTGTGGATGAATGCTGGAAGAGACAGAAAGGAGCAAATGCAGTGGGTTAAGATCATGACCAAATCATGGCACAGTGATGATTCATGCAGGGAATTTCTGAAGAGTCCATGAGCATTGCTCATGTTTGGAGCTGCTGTGGGAGGGCACAGCCCTGGGAGCAGGTGTAGGTGTGTTCAACACCTCTGCACTCACTTTGGTCCTGCAGTTGGCTCTGCTGCTTCAGGTAGCTGACAGTCATCTCCAGGATGTCAGCCTTCTCCAGCTTGGAGTTGGGCTGGTGCCTCTGGAACTCCTTCTCCAGGAGCAGTTTCAGCTGCTCGATGCTGCTGTTAATCCTGTCCCGCCGCATTTTCTCCACCACTGGTTTCCTCAGCTGTGAGAGACAGAGCAGCTTGTTAGGGATTTGGTGAGACCTGACCCAATTTTCCCCCTGGCACACACATGTTCAAAGATGCTTTTCTTTGGTAGAAGAGCCGTGCAGTGCTGCCTACCCATTCCCCACTCCATTTACTTAAAAAAAAAATCTATATAGTCTCCTTTATCTCTCTTCAACCTATCTGCCCCCCCTGAAGCCACTTTCTCCCCTTATCTCATCTTTTCCCGGTCGTATTTATTTGCTAGGGGCAGCCAAACCTTCCCAGCCCTCTCCAGGGCTCTACTTACTTTATTCTTTTCTTTGGGCAGCAGTTTTTCCTCCATGTGGACCATGAGAGCGTTGCTGGGAGCCATGGTCAGTGCTCTCAGCTGGGCACACGCAGGAGGTGATGCTCTGCCAGCTCCCAGTGCCTCTATTTATACTGGGGGAGCTCGGGCAGGGACGTGAGGCTCGGGATCACCCGTGTTTCCCACAGCCTCCCAGCCAATCCAGGCACACACTGGGACAATAGAGGAAGCATCCATTAGTGCATGGTACATTGAGTGCAAATGCCCTGGAGAGAATAACCTTCTGCCCACGCTGCTGGTGGAGTGTGTGCTGTGGGGCTTGGGGCTGCCCAGGGAGCTGGGAAAGCACTGACCCTCCAGCTGGTTCTCTGAGATCAATGTCATTCCTGAGGCTCTGCATGTGCCAGGCACAGTGGTGGTGGAGGAGGCACACTTTTGGGGGAAGGCGGGAAAAGGAGCCAGGAGGCTCTGTCAGGGCTAAAATCCACAGCACCAGGGATGTCTCTGCCCTTTCAGACCAGGCACTGGCAGCCAGAATATTTTGAGGTGTGTGTCCTTAGTCATGGCACTGGAATGGGCGACCCAAAGTGTGACTTTGCAGGATGTTTCTAAATGCTGTGGAGAAGTGACAGTCAGGATGGAAGGATGTTGGATGGACAGGGTGAATAACTAGGGGATGGGAAGCAAATGGAAATGGTAATCTCTGTTTCTTGCCCTTAACACACCCATTGCCCTCATTAAGGGCAGCACACACCTCCCAGCAGAGCTGGGCTGTGCCTAGTCACCTCCACAGTTCTTGGTTTTTCCTCTTCTTTTCCCTCTTAATGATGGTTAAGATAGGCTAAAGAATACCATAAAGCTCCTAGAATCCTGGGTCCTCTTCTTTTCCCTCTTAATGATGGTTAAGATAGGCTAAAGAATACCATAAAGCTCAACCCAGAATCCTGGGAAGCCTTGGGAAACCAGAGGTGGGTCATGAGCAGGATCTTTGGCCCTTAGCAAGGAGGTCAGTTCTGCTTCTTGCCTGAGGTTTTTGGCATGCTCTGTTCTCACCTGGCCAAGGAGCATCACCCTGCCCTGCTGTGGCCTGGAGCTGCCACAGGGAGCTGAACATCACCTCTCAGGCACCACATCACTGCCTCCCTGTGCAACCCCTACCACATCATCCCCACTCTGTTTTCATCCCTGGAAAATGGGAACAGTGCTGCTTGCTTGTGTTAGCATGGAAATGTCAGTATGAATTAAGCAAACATTTCTGTCATGATAAAGGCAAGAAAAAGAATGAAGCTCTGAGGACACTGGAGGTCAGTTCTGATTTTTGTCCTGTGAGAAAGATCTCTGCCTGGATACAATCCTTGAGGCAGCACTGAAAATAACCCAGAACCTACCTGGGCAAGGCTGTGCTGCCTCCTGCCATCTGTGGGTGCAGCCTGTGGTGCCCCAGGCAGAGGTGTGCTCCTCCTCCCATGGCCAAGGATCTGGGCACGGAAAAGGAGGAGGGAAGTGTGCAGTGAGGTAAGAAAGCCAAAGAATTTTTACTTGGAAATCCTGAAGTGAAGCCTGAGTGCAATGGGCAGTTGACAGGAAGGAGGGAGGTGTTCCTGGAATAGCAGTTGTGGGATTCATTGTACTGGCCTGAATGGGCTCAGCTCTTTGTGAAGGGCAGATGTTGTCCTTGGAGCCCTTTATTCCCTGTGTTGTGGGAAAGCCAGGAGACAAGACATCTCATGAGCACTTTGAAGCAGGCAAAGGATTATGATACAAAATCAGACACAGCTCAGAGCCCATGCCCCAGCTTCTGCCAGCTTTAATGAGGTGCTGCCTGTTTCCCTGTGTTCTCTGCTGGCCTTGCTCCAGGAGCTGTGTCCCATGTCATCCCTTTCCTAGCCAAGGATCCGTGCTGGGCAGGCCTTGCAGCCAGGAGCTGACAGGTAGGCATGGGCCAAGCTGCTCCACGGACTCTTCAGTGTCAAACCCCATCTTTTTCCCAAGTCCTGAGCAGCAGCCCTGACCTTTATTGCTGTATTATAGCTGGTAGCCAGATGGTCTTTTGGGAGTTGGATTCTTTCCCTTTAAATCATTCAGGCTCAAGCACCGTCACTAATGTCGGGAGGAGTTGCAAGGCACACTTCTATTGTCCCAGCAAGAAGTGTTATCAATGGGGGAAGAGTATGGGAAAGGCAGAGAAATCCAAACCCACAGAGCCTGGTGCTAATAACTCCTTTGTGGAGCTTCGCTGCTGTCGGGGCACCATGAACTCCTGGGCTTCTTCACCCAGCAAGGCTGAAACACTCCTGTCTCCCCATCCAGGGGCTTCTCTGAGATCCATGTGTGCCATGGGGATCCATGTGTGCCATGGGGATCCATGTGTGCCATAGGGATCCATGTGTGCCATGGGGACACTGCTGAACACCTCTGGGAATGAATGGGAGGAGCTGCACTGGGCATTGCTCCTTGGCAGTGGAAGTGCTGAGGTGGCCTCTTCTGCCTTGCAGAGGGGTTTGTTTTCTCCCTGTCTGTTGGGAGCACTGCTGGGAAGGCTTATTTACCCAGGGAGATGGAGGGGATGTTAGGATCAATCCAGCTGTGATCTCACTCTGACAGGTAATGAGCAGCACGGAGGGAGACAGCAGCAATGAGAGCACCTGACAGAGTGCCAGGCAGACACACCTGAGTGGAGATTGTTCTCTCTGAGTGCCTGATGAACAGTTGGGTCTGTATGTTGTGCCACACTCATGACTTACTACTGCTGGGTGGATGTGTCCCAAGGTTTAAGATTCCTGGATTTCAGTACCACAAATCCCCACAGTATTGCCACATCCCTTCATCACCTTCATGGTCTTAACGTGCTCCGTGGAGGATCTTGGCTAAGGTGTGAAAAGCCAGGGCAGTGCCTATTTGAGGTGACCCTAACAATCCTCTGAGCCACTGCTTCCTGTGGAGTCTCAGGTGCACATCCCTTCTCCCAGCCCCAAGGTGCACCTAACCTGCCCACTCTGCCCTGCTCAGGCTCCTTCACACATTCTACACATTAAATACTTTAAAAGTTTTTTGCCTGGAAGGCAATATAGAAAGAAATCACCATGTAAAACTTGATGTTCAGGATTGGCTTCTGCTCCCAAGAGCCAAACACAACTCTCTGTGTATTGAACCGAGTGCAGGGAAATCTGCCTCTTCCAGGGGAAAAGGTTAGGATGTTATTAGACCCATTGTGTGAAATATTCCATTAAATGTCATTAGCATGGCATTATCTCGCCTCCTTTAGACATCAGAGCCCCCTCAAAAAGGAGCCTTAATACTGTAAAGTACATTCTTCACAGGTTTAACCTTTTTTTAATTAGTTTTTCCTCAGATCCAGAATGTTTAATATCCTGCCATTCCCATGTGCAGGAGCAAAGGAAAGAGGACTTTGATCATTAAGAAACATCTGAGACGATTTGATCTGCGTTTTTAGGGCTGTTAGAGGAGGTAAAAGCAATTCCTCTAGCTACCTGTGTGGTGACCCCCTAGTAGCCATGCCCCAACCCCACAGTCCTACTGCAGTGAGTATCCCAAATCATTCAAAATTAAGGGAAATTTATTATTTTTTTTTTTCCTGCCCAGCTGAAATTCCCACAAGTCACCTCTGGGCACATTGAGGAGTGCACAAGAGGGATTTATTATTTCCTGGTATATTGACTCTGAAAGGTCTGGGGGATTACAGCTGCTTTGCACATGAATGGCTGGAGTGTGTTGTACAAAAGGCATGGGCAGGGGGATAATGGGCTTGGATGTGGGAAAGCTCTGACCCTGGGGGAGAGCAGGCTGGTGCCTGATGGCAGGAATCAATTATAGCTCAAAGGAACACATTGCCCTGGGAGCAAGCTTGGCTGGAGCCACCACGCTCTGTGTTTACCACCCTCCTCCTCCTCCTTCCATGGCAGAGAAAGCACTGCGGGATATATCCTGTCCTGGCACTGCCACTGTGCCCCATCTCCCCAAGGGGTTTGGAGTTGTGCTCCCATTCCAGATCAGGGGGAGCACAGAGTCCCCCCAAGTCCTCTGCAGGGATTGTACAGTCCCTGGGGAGCACACAGTCCCCCCAGGCTCTGTCTCAGCCTGGTCCCCACAAACAGGAGCTGTTGGGTACACACACTTATCATTTTGGGTTTTTTTTTGGCATTCAGCTCTTACAATGGGCTCTGCATCTCTGAGGAGCTGGCACTGCTTCCAGCTCTTCAAGCATCAAATTCTGGGCTCTGAGAAGCAAGCAATGGGCTGAATATCATAATGCATTGAAAAAAAAAATTATTTGATGTTTCTAATAAAAATGAAAGGGTTTTGATGGAGTGAGAGTTTGACTTGCTTTTTGGTTATTGAGCATCTCGAGTTTGGATTGATAGGATTTTTCTCTCTTTAGAGAA